GTTATACAGGTAACAAGCTGAGATTAGGAGCACTCCCTTTAAGAGTGTGCTCCTAATCTCAGCTCGTTACCTATATAAAAGACACCTGGGAGCCAGAAATCTTTCTGATTGAGAGGGGGTCAAATACTTATTTCCCTCATTAAAATGCAAATCAATTCATAACATTTTGACATGGCGTTTTTCTGGATTTTCTTATTGTTATTCTGTCTCTCACTGTTCAAATAAACATACCATTAAAATGATAGACTGATGATTTCTTCGTCAGTGGGCAAGCGTACAAAATCAGCAGGGGATCAAAAATTTATTCTTAGCTCTTTCGGTAAAGTCACGTTGAAGGGAAACAATAAAATAATAAAAAATATATAAAACAATAAAAATTCTCACGACCTGAGACGACGTGAGAATTTTTATTGTTTAATATATATTTTATTATTTTATTGTTTCCCTTCAACGTGACTTTACCGAAAGAGCTAAGAATATGAATTACTGCAGTCACGAAAGCTTTAAATCAAAAGATCAAAAACTTGTTTTCCCTCACTGTACCGTGGTGCAGTAGTGACGCACGTTGGACGATTTGAGGGTTCCACGAAGTTGAGTCATCCCAACACGTCGCAGAGACCTAAGTGACATTTACATTGTTCACACCAGTTTTGTTTACAGTGTTTTTTATGTTTTTCTGCATGTTATACACAATATCACGTGCTTTTTTATACGTGCAGTATTATATTTTGCAGGTTTCTTCACATATTTACTGTTAATCTAGGTATTACAGGAAGAGAAAACATCTTAAAATTATACAACATACACTACAGTATAGTGGTGTTTTAGAATAACACTTTTGTAATCGTCTCAGCTGCCGAATAAATATTTTTCATGAGGAATCAATAAGCATGTCTGTGATGTTTGCGCGTTGTAAAATATAATTTAAACAAACTAAATCAATGAAATGTACCGTTAGAAATGTTACTGTGAATTACTTTGTTAAAGAAAAAGCATGTTTTTTTTTAATGCCCGGCACATCCTCTCTTGCAGAAACCTTGCACGTGAGACCATCCAGAGTGTAATCGCCTTAAACTACTTAATCAATACGATGCCGTGGAAAAGTAATACTATCATACAAATTACAATACTGTATATGATAAAAACAAGTTTTGCTGGCTGGCTGGGTGGCTGGCTCGTGCGCGGACGGGCAAAGTGCACGGTGGTGACAAAGGAGTCCACACGAGTCGTCCTGGTCATAAAACACAATTGCTCCAGTGACTGTCAAAATAAAGACAACTATCCCCCGTATAGCCTTGGCAGACTGTTGAGGCAAGTGCTGTTAGCGAGCAGCACCTATGAAGGCCAAAACAGCACACGAGGGGGTGGGTGGCCAGCACTACGCCCGGCCGCCTTTGTCTCCCCAGTTTTTACACACCACACCAGGTACGTATTCGAGGCTGAGTAGACCTAGGGGAGGCCCAGGACCGGTTCGGATAATCATCACCGATGTTGGCCAGTGAGCGGGAATCGAACTCGGGTCGCCGGATTCGTAGCGCGGCATAGCGATAACCGCTACACCACCACTCCCCCCAGTGACTGCGCACGCATAGACACACACACACACAATCTTGAAGGAACTTCCATCGCCAGCCAAACGTCTTCTTCCAACGAGCCCCCTCCTTATTGCCTTTTGACTCCCAATTTTCTGCAACCTTCCACAACTTCCCTCTCAGCCACTCTCTCCGTTCTCCTCGTCTTTTCCCCGTCAAAAAATATCTCAAATGTATCTCCCCTATGGCATTTTTCGCGTCTTCGTTACCGCCGTTTTATTTCGTTCATTGTTTATCGTGGGCATTTACGGTTGCCGTGTTCTCCCCACCTAACCTCAGCGTGAGCCCGCAACGATTTGGCATCGTTTTAACAAAAACAACAAAAACGGTTTTGGCTGGGTGGCTTGGAGAGACGGACGGTCACGTGCTGGCCTGCTCGTTGTCACGAGATCATAATAAAGCGAAACTCCCGATTATACGTGGGCGGATTGTCCGGGTTGCAATCCAACCAACACGCTCTTGTGCGTCTTTCGACCCTCGTACCCTTCCTCGAGTCTCAACTAGGCGCAACCTCACCCATAACGGCCGGTGACTCAGCGCCCACGGCGGAGGGCCCTCCCCAAAAAATGTCAACAAACCCGAAAGTGAGAAACGATCGAAACGCATGGCACCGTCTGCGTCTTCACTCCCATTCCGCATCGGTCCACAGTTTGTTACGGCCCAATGTACACATGCCGTCTTCGTGCACATCACCGGCTGTGATCAGAGAGATATGTGGACACTCACAAATTCAAGGGAGCACTAAACGCAGAGTACACAGGCATTGAGAGGCGCGTGCTTGGAGTGGCACTGAGAGAATAGGGAATAGAGTGCATAGATGAAAGAGTTCATGCAGGTCAGGGACATGATGTGAACTATATTCTTGGTTATATATTCTTGGATGTTTCGGTAAAGTCACCACGTAGAAGGGGAAACAATAAAATAATAAAACCAAGAATATAAATCCCTGCAGTAACGGAAGCTTTAAATTGAAATTATGTGAACTGTTACGAAAAGCAAGTGGGCCTGGGCAGGATGCGTCACTCGAAGGCACTGCTCATCAATCATTTTCAGAAGGCGGCCACTTTCGCCAATAAGATATCGTCAGTGTGAGAGGGCCTCCACACGTTTGAAAGCATTGGGGGTTTGACAGCAGTTTCATAGTTTAGTTTAGTTTCATAGTTTCATTTATTTGGTATAGCCCTGTGAGCCATTCGGCTCTTGAATCGGGTGCAACCGCAACAAACAAAAACAGGAACAAGAAAAAACATCTTAAAGGGACTTTGTGTGACTGTGCAAACAGAAAATCCAGGAAAAAACATCAAAATATTCCTGAAATAGCACCGTACACCAACGCTGTGTGCAAAAATCCCAGTGGGATGCAAGTCAAACAACAACAACAACCACAAGAAAACTTAGATTAAGGCCATCAGTCTAACTCCGTACTACAATAAACAAAAACATCAGCACGATGATGATGGGGGAGGGGGTGAGGTGTTCACTTGTCTTTTGTGGGGGGGGGTGGGGGGCGTACATCAGAGGCCGCCAGTGGCCCACGGGCCTTGCAATGAAGAACGCCGTTCCAAGGGATGATGGCAAGTGGTAAAGATTCGTGTAAAAACAAAACCCAAAAGGAGGACGTCCAGCAAGGAGATAGAGAGATGAGATCAGCTGGCATGCAGAAGCTAAATCAAACATTTGCTTGTGAAATGCCGCCAGCTTCGGGAGGTCTGATGCTGCTGATGATGATGATGCCTAGCCTTGACTGAACGTCATTTGTGCTAAATGCCAGCTGGCAAGCTATTCTCGAACATCATTCGAGTTTACACCACGAATGACGAGCTTCTGGAAATTGAAATGCTTGCGATGCTGCGCAATGACGCGGCGGGGCGATTGAAGTGTGACGTCACTCACACGTCACAGAGCACGATGCACAGTGAACCTGTGCGCGCTGAACTCAGCACACGCAAGTGTTTTAAATTTAAAACTAATTTCTTTAGAACTGCTTTTTGTGTTTAGTTCGTTGGCCTCCCCCCCCCCCCTGCACCTCCGATTATCACGGACGGCTCCATACAATTTCATTTAACGTATTCCAATGCATTTATACTTGTACACGTCAATCGCATTATTTTTGTTTATGAATACAGTAGATATTAATTTCGCAGTATTGGCAACAGGTATTGGATTGAGAATAGTAAGCGCAATTATCTTTTTAGCATAACACCTTTAGAATGTTAATAATAATAAGAGTCCCACTTGAGTATCAAGGTTTGTCATGAAGGAGCTAGCATGCCTGCCTGGCATGTGCTCGTACATTTACGCCACCACTACTCATTGCAAGTGTTGTCAGAGGTTGCTCATACTTGGTTGCTGTATGGGAATGATGGAGACGCCAACACCTGCACCTTCCTCTACCGATAGGGGATTTCCAATCAGCCCCAAATGGTAGAGATCAATAACCACTATTCAATTAGAATTTAAATAATTATGTTTTCTACTGCATGAATGTAGTGTAAGTAGATAGTCGTAGATTTTTTTTAACGTTTCAGATTATATTGTCGCGATTAGGGTTGTTTTTATTTCAAGCATATATTACTTGTGACGTTTAATGTGGTATGTTTGATTCTTGACATACGTTTGATTTCTGCCAATATATTTAATACACTTAACGATATCCTCAATTACCGACAAGATAATAGCTCATTCAAAATGTCGATAATTGACAATATATTGAATACTTTTAAATAAATCATCAAAAATGCAGTAATCAAACACAGCAACCATTACCACGTGATTTCTGTCTGTTTCCCTTCTACGTGGTACCGAAAGAACCAAGAATATTAAACCCTGCAGTCACGAAAACTTTAAATCTAAATTTAGGTCAGACGCAGTTTAAAGCGGAGGACATTTAGAAACAGTACGTATCTCGAAAGGTTCAACCTGTGGAAATTATATTGTTAAAAAAAATAAACAATACTCCATCGATTGCTCCGGAAAGTATGCGCCCTCCGTCAGATAACATCGACGAGAATCTAGAATCGAAAGGAATCGATCCATTCGTACCGTTACACGCAATAGTCGATTCTAATGTGTTCGACACAACACGCGGATCGATTAAACACCCCGAGCGTGACGTCATTACCGAAAGCAACCCGAAAGTGCGGGAGAGAGAGAGATGGGGGCGGGGTGGGGGGCGGGGTGGGGGGCAGGGGGTGAGGGGGGGAGACCCGCACGGAAGTAGACGCGGGGCCGGGGGGGGGGGGAACCCGCACGGAAGTAGGCGCGGCCTGACTCTGCGAAAGGAGCAAACAGCCAATAGAAGAGCCGCGTAATATGAGGCTTCGCTGGGAGGGGGCTGGAGGAGGGTCGGCGTTTGACCAATCCGCCGACGTCCCGGATACTTTTGACCGCGACCAATAAGAGAGCGGCGTCTTGGTGCGTCGTCCGCATTGTCCACGCGCCCACTGTGTCGCTCACCCACATCGACGTCCTCCGACAGCAACAACAACGCTCGCGTTAAATGTTGCCGAGGTGTGGACGCGGTTGATTATTGTAGGAAGGGGGTTTGTTTTTCTTTTGTTTTAGTCTATATTAGAGAGTGTGTGTGTGCGTGCAAGTCGTATTTAGTAATTGTTGTAGTTAAGTGGCTGGGTTTTTATTTTTGTCCGACATGAGTTTGACCCGCCAGGAGGCCTACGCCGTGCTGGGCCTTCCCAATGGTGAGTTGTGATCGCGTGTACACCCGAAACGACGCAACGCTATTTGTTTAACACGTACTAGGGCGTTCGCCACCAATTTTAACCATAGCAAAGACGTTTTTTTTGTTTGTTTGTTTGGGTTAGATCGCGTAAATATAAATGCGTCGTTTAACCCGCCGCCACCACCACAACCACCAAGTGAGTAAAGAGTTTGTCACGTAAGCGTGACAATTTAGTGACTGCTTGAGCACACCGATGTGCTGCCGAGCAAACATTTAAAATTCGACTGCTCTACGATGTTTCTCTGGTGGTTGTGTACACGTTGCACGGCATGGTTTGCGTACGTACACGCGCATGTTCTAGGCCAAACAATTAAAAACGAGTAATTAATCGGTATCGATTTATGGGTTACGCCACCTAAGTAATGATCTGCCCAACTCTGTATTTACGCTATGGATTATTTCGATGGTTTTGCTGCAATTAGTTTCCACGTAAGCCACGTTGTTTGGGCTATCGTTTTGTGGCCGGATCGCTTCCGAAAAAGAAGCCAAGAGCTCCGTTGGCTTTGCCTGGTAAGATACAAAAAAAAAGATCGTGGTTTTTATATATTTTAAAAGTGATTTGTTTACATTTCGCGTACAATACTTTGCGCTCCTATCGTGATTTTTGTGGCGTTTATTGTTGCGTTCTGACTCGCCCCTACTGGACATCTTTGAAAAAATATATTTTCGTAGCTCATGGGATTCCTCCAGTATTAATATTCTGATTCTGTACGTTGAACTTCTTTCGCACCGTATGTAGTAAACCGTGCTTATCAGAGGTACGGGAATTTTAGGTCGACATGGCCAAAGAAAATGACATTACACTTGTCAATCTAACTTGTTGGGCAATGACGGTGGGAGGGTTCATAACATCAGAAAAGTTACCAGCTCATCGTGACCTAAGCCAAACATGTATTATTGTGATGATTAATAACATGTTCTTGAGAAAAAAAACTAATCCGTGTTATGTACTATTAACACAAGCAATCTCAATGTATACAAATATACTTGGCATAAGCACGCGTGCTTGTTTAAAACCATACAACTCGTAGGCATTGTAGTCGCCGGTTTTAAACCATGCCACACACACACACTACATACAACAACCTATTGTTGCATACTCTTTGGTTCTATTGGGTAAAGTCACGTATTTCCACCTACGTGACTTTACCCAATAGAACCAACGAGTATGGATCCTAGCAGTCACGAAAGCTTTAAATCTAGAACCTATTGTTGGACATTTTCGGTGCACTGCGTCAATACATGTCGCTGTTAATCGGCACAAGGACAACCCATTTGGCAATCCACTACTGGATGATCACGATTACCCCCCCCAATATGTTTATTTGTCTACAATTCATCAGATTGGCGATTGTAGTTTGTTGGCCTAAGCACACTATCCAGGCTATTTGGTCATCGGCCACTGAGAAACGAGGGCACTTTAGTAACTAACAGTATACATTCACAACATCACAACAATACATGGCCGTGTAAATTAATTGACGAGTCACCATCACTCGCCTCCTACGCACTTACTGTAAAGACACTAGGTAATACCAAACAGTTAAAATAATATACTTTAATGTACACTAAGGTTAAAACAATACAAAACGCTGTACTACAGTACGCAAACACTCCACACGTAGTACCGTACTCTAGAATATAAACTACCTTTTAAAGACAAATTGAAACGATTACTGCAAGTTTGGGTAAATATTGTCCGATGTAAAACTAAAATGCAGCCAACTTTAAAACGCATACAAAAGGGGGAAATGATGTACAGTTTATAGGAAGTACTGTATATGAATTGGTGAAACACTCATGTATGTAGAGTGTACGTATGGTTGTGTGTGTGTGTACGGTATGTATACGGACTACCACAAAGTCCTCGGGGTGAATACCTGGGCTACTAGTGTTTTTCGAGGGAGTTGGTTATCACTAAGCAACTTGCTGTTATTCTACGTTTTTTGTTGTTTAATATACAGACACACTGCAATATTCTAGATTTAAAGCGTTCGTGACTGCAAGGATCCGTACTCTTTGGTTCTATTCGGTAAAGTCACCACGTAGGTAAAAAATAAAACAACAAAAATCACGACGTTTCGGCCACAACACAAGCGGCCTTCATCAGGTGAAGGGACCGGACTGTCTCGAGGACAGCGTTGGAGTGTCCTCTGGACAGGTTGGTCTCTTCACCTGATGAAGGCCACTTGTGTTGTGGCCGAAACGTCGTGATTTTTGTTAATTTTTTTACCTACGTGGTGACTTTACCGAATAGAACCAAAGAGTACACTGCAATATCTCATTCGGCTCTTACCATCATCGTGATCACAATGCAGTGTTTCAAATGGTAACCTCAATCTGTCTTGGGGTTTTGTACAGTATTATATATGGGATGAACAAAACAATAAACCTGTGAACTGGTAACTACCAGCAGTGAGAGGATTTGCATGAATTAGTGCTGAACTACCGACCTACCTTGTGCTATGGGGTCCCAGTTTGACGCAAAATTACGTACTACGCGTTTCAATTTCGACTTTATTTTGACAATTTATATTCTTAATAATGATGCGAATACTTATTGACCTTTTTAATGGAGAGTCATTAGAAGATTTTCGCTACGAAAGTTGGTATAAGCGTAATTTATTTGATGTCCTGGGAATGCAATGCATTATATTGTTTTTAATTAAAATAATGTGTTTGATTAATAACACTACTGTTGTTAATATGTACTTTATGCTGTTTATTCATCTTGCATGGGACAGTGAAGGCGTTTATAAAAACAAATGATTGGTTTGTATTTTTTTTACTTCGTTAATGTGCCTCACGGCATCACTTTAAGCACAGTGTTAACAGCTGGTCATTAAGGTTAGGTTGGTTAAAGCGTTATTGTTGGCCACGTATTTAATGTGAAACGTGCTTTTATCTACAGGAGCGTCTGAAGCAGAAATTAAATCTGCATACAAGAAGCTTGCTCTGGAATGGCATCCAGATAAGAATAATAACAGTGAAACTGCTACCATTGTGAGTTGCAAGGAGTGTTTGGTATATTTTATTTTAATGTGGTGGAACGTATGCTCGTATTTTTTAACATTTTCTTATGGTCACTCATGCTTGGTTAAAATACAATTGATCAGCATTGTACTGTTTCTAAATATCAACATAGTTGTAATATTGGTGCATTTTGAGCATTGTACATTGATACATGGGTTGTTCAAATACCACATCACGTATTAATGCACCAGCAAGGCTGTTTACTTGAGAGAACATTGATTTTGCAGAGGTCGCTATTCCCTGGGGTCCAAGTCCAGAAGCACTTAATGAATCTTGAAGATGATGTTAGTCTGGGTAAAGATAACTTTTTGTAAGTCAAATTTAATCGTGGAGTTAAGACAACTACGCATGCTAAAGTAAGGAGTGATCAAGGCTAATATTAATAACATTGAGAGCCTCAATATACTTGCCTCCACTGCAAACCGGCTGAAGTACACAGCTGAAAGTCATGCCAGCCGTGTTGCATGGATGACCATGCCGGCCATGTTGCATGGAGTTTTCTTGGCAGCTGATTGGCCGGTGCAGTTGGTGTGCTGTCATAATCCCGAGGAAACCACACCACTGCCTACAGCATTGCAATTTGCCCAGGACTCCCAACATTTTCTTTGACTTTTAATCCGTTTTTCTTTTACGTGAGCGCTGTCGGATGTTGTTACAATCACAGGCCGCAAAGCCCATGGCACCACCAGACAGTTATTTCCGTTGTTCAAGCCTCCAATTTGTGAAGTATAGACTTGCTAGCTGGAGACAACGTGAAATAATAATGCATATATCGCTTCGTCGAAGGGTTCAGCCTCTGTCATAACTTGAATTTTCTTTTGTACAATGTAGAAATTTCAGCAAGTTACGGGAGCATACCAACTTCTTACTGCAGAGAGAAACGAGGCTCACATGAGCTTGGTAAGCCACCAATAAAATGAATATGAACGTGTAATGCACACTTGTGCTCCAATATCATAATTTTTTTAAAAAATGTGTTGTGGTTGATCAGTCAATTTTATCATCTCGTTTTGTTTTGTATCTTTTTCAGGATGAAATGCTGGATTTATTCAACATGATGTTTTTTGGAGCTGGGGGTGGATTCCCATTTTATCGTCCGCGTTTTGGTGAGTGAACAAACAAACAAAATAATGTACATTACCAGGTAAAGAATTGTCATGTTTTTCTCTTAATAATCTAATGACCCTACATGCGAAGCATCTTTTGATAAATCGATCCAGAAAGACCTAGGGTAAATATATTTGCCACACAATTCATGTTCTGTGCCAAGGGCCAGATGAACCTCTGATAAAATAAACATTTCATACTCCTTAAAGTTTTAAGAACAATACATGCTAATGTATACATTTTATGATAAAACTATGTTATACTGGTAGGAACGAAGTTGTAAACTGAGTGTACCAGCCTGCAATAGATTAATGTGTCCATCCGTCCCCTTTCAATACTTTAACGAAGTGAAATCTCGTGCTGTTGGGTGTAAAATCAGCAATAGACAGCGCAGAGACTTGTCCTACCAGCCCACCCTGCAGGGACCTGTTTGTCATTTCATAAACTACATATTTGGATATGTGAATAGACTACATTATGTTGTTTGCCAATTTTATTTTTTTAAGTAATTATGTTAGTGCAGTGGTAGATCACCTGAATACAAAAAAACAAGGGATTTCATTGACAGTGGGGTCCACAAGCACAGAGTGAAAAAACCTCTTTGTAAAAAAATATTCAAGTTTACAAACACTTGTGGTTTCTTTGTGGTTGTGTTTGAGTCACACTCACACAGGAAGCATTTGAAGTCTTAAGATGCATGAGATTTGCTGGAAGTTTGTAGAAATGCTTTCCAGTATACGTAATTAAACATAATGTTTTCCCCTCACTTTTAGATACATGTATGCTGTTTTAGGACCTTGTCACCTACAACCAGTGACCAAAGATTTTTGAGTTTGAACATTTGAATTCCCATAGAATGAAGTCTTTCAGATGTAATGCCTGGTAACTTATAGGCGTACTTGTGATTGCATACTGCATGGTGTATTAATTTTGTCTGAACATTTTACCACCGCCAATCTCACCCTTTACAGTATTCATCAATGGAGATAGAGACGAGTTTTACTCATCGGATGACAGCGACATGGAATATCTGTTTAACCCAAGCAGGGGTTTTCACGAAACCAACGCCTATCCCCGCCAGAGTGGCCGTGAATCTTACCATCGCACGCATGCCAGCAGCACCACCTCCACAGCTCATATGGGCAGGTCCACGTACAACACCATCACAGTCGAGGTACGTAACTAACGTCGCCATATTGATGTTTTTTTATGTGTGCGATAATAAATAATAATGATTTTGTCTTGAAACTAAAAGGGGGGGGGGGTTAATGCATGATTAATAATATTTTCTTAAATCATTGCCTGCAATGGAAAAACTTCACAACATAATTGTATGAAGCCCTCTTACTTGATTTGCAGCTAAACCTTGATTTTGTGTAAAACCATTTAAACGCAAACAATTTGTAGCTATGTCATTCCCATTAAGGTGATGTAAAACAAGTTAAAATTGTCTGGTGTTTACTTACAGGAAGCAAATAAAAATGCAGCAGATCTTATACAGGAAGAGCAAAATGCTAAAAAGAAGACTGAGAAACGTAAATCTAAAAAGAAGGTTTGTATTGCAGAATTATCATGAACCATACATCCTTAGGTGTCCTTACTTTATGCAATGTAAAGTGTGTTTATATCATTGGAAGATTTGTTTTTCAAAGGTATGGCATGATAATATCAAAACAGCTGGATCGTCCAGCCACTTAATTCAAGCTCTTACCACCTTTGATTTAGGAGCAAAGCAACGTGTACAACCTCGCTTATCGTGACAACAAATGGATCTTTATTAGGTTTGAAACTGGGTGGAGAACAATAGTAATTTACTGTGCTGTGTATTATTGGCTAAAAAGCCTACTTGGAATGGTTGTATTCTGACGTTTGTTAAGGCTCTATTTGCTTTGGTAAAGTTTTTTTGCTTTCCATCTTAAGTTATGTTTACCTCCTGTTAAATTTGGGTCCCATGTTTAAAACTAATTGTCAAACCAGATAAAACCAATAAATACATAAAACATTATCTGCAAATAACTCCATCTGAAATACAATTGTGTTACGGACAGTATATAACAACCTATAATGACTTTTCTATACTCCATTATACATTTTACTTGGCATTATTTATAACTCAACACGTGTTTTATTCCCGTAAATGATGCATGTTATTTTTTACAAATATTCATTAAATAATGTTATTCATAAAGGATATTTTTTATTCTACATAATTGTTTGGAAATATAAATGTGTCATGCATTTACTGAAGTGTTGATGCTTTCTTTCATTGTTTTTTTGAAGCTTTACTGTTTATATATATAATTTATCTGTAATTAAAACACAAGTGTTGGAAGCTTGTCTTGCCTTTTACAATTATGTCAATGGGTGCTGTTATTTTTCACGTTAAAAATTATCTACTGTCCACAGAGGCGAAAGGAAAGAAAACAGCAAGAAAGAGTAGAGAAAGACCGGCATAAAAATCCAGAAGATAAAGAGGTGTGTTTGTCTAATGTCATTACAGCTTAATGGAGTTGATATGATACGCAGTTTTTTTTCTCGATGTTGACATTGTTGTCTTTTTACCACAATGTCCTGGGGTCAGTTTCCATACCAGCCCCTAAGCACAGAAATCAGGTTAAGCACAGGTGCCGATAAATGTCACTGCTGCTGAAAGTGATGCATTGGATGCATTGTAGTTTGTATTCATTAACGCCACTTAAATCTGATTAATTCAGAACTTCGTTAAGCTCAAAGTATATTATGGTTTAATACGTGTATATAATGCCTATATAATTGGTATTTGCAATGAACATGTCAACTGATATACATGCTAATAGTACGGTTCATGCTAGAAGCTTTTTATTCTACCATATATTTGTTATCTAATTATCCTTGCTATTTGCTCATTTGAACAACTGCTTGTGTCAGTATTTATCAATAACGTTAAGAGGACACGTAGGCTTTGAAGTTGGAAACCTGATCTCATTCTTATATGGCCTTGTAGACCTGTGGACAATTGCAGATTTGGGGTTGGTGATACAACATTTCAGCATTGTGTATTTTGAACCGTTCTGTGCACGTTGCATGTGGGCGTTAAAATTACTTGTGGGCGTTAAAATTACTTGTAGGCATTAGGTGCGTCCCATTCCTTTCATACTTTGAGGTTAAGTAAAAATGTGGCTAGTCGAAAGGCCCTACCTCATCTTTGTGCTGGTTGCAACACAATTTATTCGTGTTACTTTTTTGCACCATAAAAAATGGGACCCCCCCATACTTGTCGTATGTGGGGTTGGGGCACTCTGCCTCCCTTAAAGCAGCTAATTTGATTGATCCAGCACTAATTCACTCCAATCGCTCGGTCACTGGTGGTCATTTGGCCTCCTTATCACTCTTCTATCGCTATTACCATGGTTCCCGTGAACGTCACTCATCGATTCCTCCTCGCCATGTTGAACACTCTCGCTTTCGTCTCGATCGTTGTTTTAAATCGTAAAAAAAAACCTATTTTTTTGCAATTTATGATGGCGGTTCTCTTCCATGCTTCCCCAAAGCATCAATCCTGAGTCGTATTATCTGTCTTGCGTTTCAGGATGCGTGTTTGGGTAATTCAAGTGAAAATGATGAAGAAACAGAAGTAACTGCTGAAAGCAAAACTGTGAATAAGGAACCCATTGTAAAACCTGGACCTCTTCCAATGGAATCTAAAAAAGGGGCGGGAGCTGCTGATGCCCTCAAAGGGAGGACCGTAACTAAAGATAGTAATAAAGAAAATACAAGTCCACCCGTGTTCTCGGGCACCAAAGACAACGCGGGCGCTGCTTCATATTCAGAGACTCACGATAACAAGAGTGTTAACGTTGAAGTGAAATCTAATGGACATGCCAAACAGGCGAAAGCAAGGGATGCACCTTCGCAAAGGGAGCCTGTACATTCATACACACTCCCTGCTTCGGAGAAGATTGGTGGCAACAGCTCGGTAAATGGTGCCACGAAGGAGTCTTCGGATTCTGAAGACGTAAGTACAGCATCCGCTTACTTTACCCTCCTTTTGTATTGTGTGACGAGTAGTACACGATTGGCTTGAAAATTCATTCACGCTGTTCCACTGGCTTGTTTTAAAATGCTGTACTGTAAACATATATGGATGTATCTTGAATCGTATAGGGCGTTTTCTAATGAATATTACACTTGTAACTTGTGTAAATAACGGTTATTTTAAACGAGTAAAAGCATTCAGTCCTGTAATTAACACTGGGCATGCAACGACTCATTGGTTCAGATCATTCCCAATGCCCTTGTGAGGATATTTTTCCTAATTTATGCAAATTGTATGCTATTGTTACTTTCAGGGGTTATTGGAGCAAATGAAACTATAAAAATAAGGCAAAAAATAAGCCTTGAATTGCAGCTCCAAATTGTGAAAATCAAATCTCTCTGGCTTTGAGGAATGGTAGAGGTCAATTGTTACGTGCCTAATTATTCATTACACACCTTGGTAAAATGGTTGAGAATCGAGGGAGTTGAATATATAGAGCAGGGGTCGGCAACCTGTGGCTCGCGAGCCAGATGTGGCCCTTTTGATGACTGCATCTGGCTCGCAAATAAATCTTAGCTGACATTTCATTTAACATGATAAGACTTATCATGTTTCTATTATGGGACTTATCATGTTAATAAATGTCAGCTAAGATTTATTTGCGAGCCAGATGCAGTCATCAAAAGAGCCACATCTGGCTCGCGAGCCATTGGTTGCCGACCCCTGATATTATAAAGGGTACTGTGTCCTCAGAATAATGAGCAGACCTATTGTGTACTGCATATAACGATTTATTGGGGGACCCGTTGTGTTGTAAAAAAGTTGGAAATTGGAATTCCGATGCTGGAAATGTAACGGCACGCAACGGCATTGCAGACTGAGCTCCATTTCGACATCGCACAAACATGTGCTAGGCAGTCCCAGTTTAGGACCGTACAGGATATTATTGTATTCTTACACTTGTTTTCCCAGCAAAAGCTTCGCCGAGTCCCATACTCCTTCGGGAGGGTCCTGCCAAGGAGGGCACGCTGTTGCTACGTGTTATGCAAATTACGCAATTTAGCAGATAATTATTCAGCATTGGTATGTTTTGCCAATGTTACGTTGTTTATTTTCAATTATGGGACGAAATCGGCAAACCTGTAAGAAACCCATGCAGAAGAGGGGGAGAACACAAACTCCAAACGGAGAGGAGGGGAGCCCCTGTTGGGACATGCACTCGGTGTTCTTGCTTTGAGGCTCAAGTTGTAGCTTTGCACCACTGCTGCTGTAGCATTTGACTATGCATTTCACAATTACCTTGTGATTTTGAGTTGCTTCATGGGGGGGGGGGTTACCAATCCTTATAATTTTATAATATTCAAGTGTGTATCCAGGATAGTGGGTTTATCAACTTTAATTTTTTATGCCTTACAATATTGGGGGCTACAGATTCCAATGTTTTAGTCTGATAACCTGCGGTCTAAAACCCTTGTTTCCATTAAAATTTGTATTTTCATAACATCTACATGCAACCGCATCTCAAGGCACGACAGAACACTGCGACATGTCCCTTTAGGTGAAAGGAGATATTTATTATGGAGAGAGAGGCAGTCACACATTCGCAGTAATAAAAAAGAAGGTTTTGAGGCTGAATTTGAATCGAGATTGTTGGAATAAGGTAGTTCTATTCCAGTGAAGCAGAGGAAAAAGAGTGACTTCACTGAGCAAAGGTTAGATTTTGATTTAAAGCTTTCGTGACTGCAGTAATTCATATGCTTAGCTCTTTCGGTAAAGTCACGTTGAAGGGAAACAATAAAATAATAAAATATATATTAAACAATAAAAATTCTCACGACGTTTCGACCATAACACAAACGGTCGTCAGCAGGTTTTATTGCACTGTCAACCCCGTACTGATTGTTTATGGTGTGCACACCTACATATATTGTAGTTTTGTGCATCATTTAATGCACCTTGTATATTCGTAAAAACTCGTCTGGCCTGGATAATTCATGAGCTCTTAAGCATTTATGGAACAGACATGAATATTGTTGGAATGATGTACCCAGTGGGTGCAATTGGAGTAGGTGACACAAGTTCCTTAGTACTGAAATTATAAGGGATGCAATATAAAGCATTTAACACAAACGGTCGTCTGATGACGACCGTTTGTGTTATGGTCGAAACGTCGTGAGAATTTTTATTGTTTTATATTTTATTATTTTCTTGTTTCCCTTCAACGTGACTTTACCGAAAGAGCTAAGAATATGAGCAAAGGTTGACGAGGGAAAGCCTTGGTTGTAAAATCAGAGTGCATGAAGGGGTATAAAGTGAGATGAAATCATGAGAGGTAGTCGGGGGTGAGTCCATAGACCATAAGTGTGATCTTGAAGTTAATATGGGATCAGTGTGGGAGCCAATGGGAGGGATCAGTATTAGGGTGGTGTGGTTATATATACATGTGTGGATGAGATGTCTGCCATTTAAAATGGGTTGCGTTTGAGACTCGAAAGACCCATTCACAATGAGTTTTAACTCCCTTTTGGTCGAGTGTTTTTACATGGCTTCTGCCAATGGTTTTGCTATCCACACTGATGTTAAATTATCTCATGTCATATATAAAGTGATATGTTCATTTACAATTAGGAAATTTGCTTAACTTCGTTAAATCTTTGCCCAAGACTTTGAGCTGTATCATTGTTTACCCACGTGGAAATGTGTTGAGTGGTGAACATTTTTTTCAAAATAAGTGCTTCAGTCTGGTTAATATGAACTGGAGAGTTTCTACCAATCCAAGATGAGACTACATTAAGGCACAGTGTGTAAGTGGCAGCCAGTTTGAATTCATGGACTCTGGCAATTACAGCTGGGTGTCATCAGCATAGAAGTGATGTTCAACCTTCAAACTAAAAAAGATTTTGCCAAGTGGAAGAAAAAATATATTAAGAGGTGATTTGGACGGAGGTGATCTAGGGATTGAAAACAAGAGGTTAATGAGATGGAGGCCTCTAAAAGTGATGGGTGAAAGGTGAGGAGGTTGCTTTGCCATAGGAATGAGTGGGATATGAGAAATTTTGGCTGGAAGTTGGCTAGAATGCAATTGGACAGATGGATGTTTAAATCCCCATTGCTGTATTTTCCCGCATATTACCCGCAGGGTATATCACTTTTTTACAAACAAAACAAGACCCTGCGGGGTATATGGAGGTGCGGGCTATCCCAAAAATATTTTACACGTGTGACATGTCATGACTCGTTTAAATTTTTCATGGTAGGTCTATCCACTTACCTTTGACTAAAGCACTGCTGAATAAACCACTCGCACTAAAATTGCAGTTATCACGTTTTAAATTATTCGAATTGTTTGTACAATGAAACGACAATGTTTGAAGTGGGTGCACTGTTTACCAGCGACGGGAGAGCTGGGGGGAGAGAGGTGGGTGGTTTGGGGGGGCAAAGGCGTTACCGTAGTGCCGCTATTGTCAGCGCAGTGCGCAATCTACCAGTGCTAAAACTACTTATCTACCAGTTAGGTGTTACTTATTTATTGCATATTTCCTTTTGTTACTTATTTACTGTTTTAAGTTCACACGTTTCCTGTTAGTTTGTTTTCTTTGTGCACATTATGATTTGTATGTTAACAATTGATAGTGGAATCTATTACAAATGTAAACTTCGTATTAATATGATGGAATTAAGCTGCGGTAACGACGTTAAAGATATGAATGCATGCGGGGTATATGGAGGTGCGGGGTATATGGAGGTGCGGGCTATCGAAAATTTGTTTTACACAATGCTATTTTTGCGGGGTATATGCGGGAAAATACGGTGATTGTGTGTAGAGAAGGGAGAGACCTAAGTTTGAGGTGAGATGGATGACTTTGAAGATTGGGGAGGCAGGTTGGAAGTGAAGGAAAATAAATTAAAATAAGTGAATGTTTTTGGAATTTACGGAGGGAATTTAACATTACACTTTGAGTTTACAACATAATTTTCTGATAAAATGTGTTGGGATGAGCAGAGTTCGAATGGAGTGTATGAAATGTGGTCTTTTTCAGGAACCTGAGTGGGATACGTGTAGTGCCTTTTTTGCCAAGGTTGCAAGCAAACAACAGCCAAAGCATACCAAAGTGGACAAAAAAGTGAAAAGCAAGGAAAAGCCAGTCCCAGTTAAAGAAGAAAAGCCTACAAAGGTAAAGATTAAGTCATGCTTATTTTTAAATAATCACACTCCCAAGGTGTCAGACATTTGTACTCGGAGCGTATGAAGAAAATCTTTTTTTTTTAAGAACATTTCGATTGTCACCATGCCACATCCAATTACACTGCATATTATTTGGCCGGTGTTGTTTTCCACTTGCTCTTTCTGTTAATGATGTGTGCTTCTTAATATAATCTCATCCGTATTGAAATTTCATCGTTTTTTGTCATCTTCAACGCACTGCTTGCTCTCTCCGTAGGTTCCTGCCAGTGTTGTACCCCAGAAACCAAGTCCTGATGAGTTGGCTCAACGGAGTGTACAGTTTGCAGGTAAGGTTAATCTCTCAAAAGTCAGTTTTGTACTGGGTTTTTTTAAGTCCAGGAAAAAGCTTGTAAAATGCTATGAAATCATCGGACCAGCACAGGCTAATGTTGGCATCACTCATGGCATGTGACAAGAATTATCTAAGAAAGAGATTAAATAATTCATTGGCTTCATTCTTTGAAAATAATATTGTGCATCTTTCATACAATGTTAAACATTATTTACATATTGTACACATGATGCCCCTTTCCCATTCCGAGACATCTGCAAGTTGCAAGTAGTTTTATTTAGAGAGGCGTAGCGCTGTTCTTTTTAAAGACGTACTCGCCGCGACACGACCGCATTATGATAGATGGTGCCAAACTATATGCCACATGCCTTCCCGCATGGCCTTGTGGAAGCCTCGATAAGTCTTCAGGTCGAAAGACATACTGGAATGGGAAAGAGTTAAATTGCATCTATTGTACTTTAATTCTGTCGGTAAAGTCACGTAGGTATAAAATAACTTTACCGCAGTCACGAAAGCTTCAAATCAAGATTGCGTTTATTGTGTATATTAAAACGCATAATGTGATCCATATTTATTTTGGGTTCAGCCAAGTGGTCTGCACACGTGTCCGTTGAACTGTTTTTCAAATGTTTACTTGCATCTTTGTCTTGTTCCAAAACAGTGCAAGGTAATCAGTTGGCCAGTACACAGAGTTATGCAGAAGCCATTGAAAAGTTTACTGAAGCAATTAAGTTATATCCGCAAGATTTTCGGTAAGTCGACTCCCTTTGTGTAACTTGACATTTTTTTAGCAAAATTTGAATACTAATATTATACAGCCAATTTGAGTTGATAGAAAGTAGCTTGGCAGTTCAACGTTGTGTGTGACAGGCATAATGCATTATAAAGGCAAAATGTTGCGTGATAAAGTTGTTAATTATTATTGCACAACAGGAAAGGAGAGCAGTATCCTAAGTTCTCAAGAAGAGAAACACTGCCAATCACAACTGGTGTAGCTCAGGCAGCACATTATTTCTGTTGTGTGTTTTCTAATTAGATGTTTGCCAATTTTTAACCACATGTTTAGATAATTCTTGATGATAGACATGTCAGAAATACTTATTTGGTATATAGCTACAGTGATCATGGCCACATTTTTGTAAAATGTCGTTCCTCAGTTTTCTCATTGTTTATTATTTAGATGGTCTGTCATTTGGATTATATTTATAATCTATCTGTGTCGTTATTTTCCAGGTATTTTGGGAATCGATCATATTGTTTTGAGCGTCTAGGAAAGTACAATGATGCCTTGATGGATGCAGAGATAGCTGTAAATATAAACCCAATATGGCCACGAGGATACTTTAGAAAAGCACGGGCTTGCATTGGATTGAAGGTAAGGTTGCTGTTTTTGCAATCTTTGACATTTTGCGTGTAATTTGCATTATACCGGTCACTGACTTTAATGATGAGGACTATTTTGATATTATTTGCATTCAAATTAGTTTATAAATTACCTTTATTTTATAAATTCCACTGCAACATTTAACTTTTGTAAATGCAGCAATGCAATAATGGATAAATGCATCATGTACAACTTTTACTTTTGTAAATGTCACCACCCAATATTTCCATTCCACACCACAATGTCCATATGATTTCCTCAGTTCGGACCTTGACCTATCCTTTGAAAGGGAATTTGATTTTTATTTAAAGCTTTCGTGACTGCAGTGATTCATATTCTTAGCTCTTTCGGTAAAGTCACGTTGAAGGGAAACGATAAAATAATAATAAAATAATAATACATATATAGGGAATTTGATGTAAATTACCAATTTTATTATAAGCAGCACACAGATAATAAAATGTTTTTACCTATTGCAAAATTGTCCAAGTTTTAAGTTCAGATTTCGAATTAAGCATTGCCAGCAGATTTGATGCCTAGAACCATCACGACGTGTAATAATGCAATGATTGGTCAATATATCACATGCGGTGGCGAGAACAAGTTTGAACCCCAATGATAATTATGGAAATTAAATATTTTTACCATGATAGTCTTCTCGAATAAAAACCCGGTCTTTTCTTAAATGTCCAATAGGGTTTATATGAACAAATTCCATGTCTTCTGAAACAAAATGATGTTTGAATTAAACAAATAATGGGTAATTAAGGTTCAGGGTATGTGAAAAAGTAGGAACCCCTGGTATCATTAGCTCAATTAAGGGAATTATAATCAGGTGTTTAAATAATGAGGCTGATCTTCAGGGGTTAGTTTTTCGGAGAGACCCCACCTATATAAAGATCAAAAACTTTGAGTTCGGTCTTCACCATACAGGTGTGTGGAAACAAGTAATGCCACGATCAAAATAAATCTTGAGGAACTCAGAAAAAGAGTTATTGATGCACATCAGTCTGCAAAGGGTTGCAGAACCATTTCTAAGGATTTGGAGCCCAACCAATCCACTGTCAGACAGTCTACGATTGGAGTGTTCATGACTCAACCATCAGAAAAAGACTGAGCAGGAATGGTGTTCATGGAAGGATAGCAAGGAGAAAACCCACTGTTCTTCTAAAAGAAACATTGCCCGTCTGAAATTTGCCAATGAACTCATAGATGATCCTCAAGACTTCTGGAACAATTATCTCTGGACAGACGAGTCAAGGCAGAACGTTTTGGCCTCAATAAAAACGTTATGTTTGGTCAAACCAAACACTGCTTTCGAATAGATTACCTCATCCCAACTATCAGGCATGGTGGTGGGAATGTGATGGTCTGGAGCTGCGTTTGTCGCCTCAGGACCTGGACGGGTTGCCATCATTAACACAACCATTAATTCTGCATTGTATCAGAAGACTCCAGAGGAGAATGGCAGGCCATCCGTCCGTGAGCTGAAGCCAACCCAAAAGTGTGTCTTGCAACAAGACGGTGATCCTTAACATGTGTGCGCCATACCAAGGCGCTGTATGCAGCCTTACCTGTTGCCACGCTCACAGGCTGACGGGGCAGCCGAGAGAGTGAACGAGGGGGGTGTAGGGGTTAACCTAAGGTAACCCCCCCCCCCCTCCCTGGGGGCCCCGTGACCGGAGGTAGAGACCCCAGACCCCCAAGGGGTGGGGGCTGGGGGATAAGGGCCAACGGCTGATTCCAGACCCTTCCAGACACTTCTGGAAGGTTCTGGAGAGGGTGTGGTTAGGGGCGGGGTAAGCCCCGACCTGGGGATAAAAGCCGGCCCTCTCAACAGAACCGGCAGTGTTCGCCAACTCAAGATCTGAAGATGTCGGAAGACCTGAAGACTAGGCCAGCACCCTGGGACTGTCAACCGAGGCTCTTGTCAGAGCCGGGTTGTCGCGGACCAGTGGCGGGGTCAGTCTAGCCTCCCTTAGCGCCCGTAGCGGAGGACCCGTGTATAGCGTAGCTCGGGGTGTGTAGGACACGCTAGAAGGGAGGCTGTACCTCCCATTGGATATCGGGTTGAGGGGGCCGTACCCCTTCGTGTTACTGTTAGTGGGTTCGTTGTAATAAACGCGTTGCCCCCAGAAGACGTCTCCGCGAAGTTATACACACAACAACATGCAAGCACATCGACAAAAGAATGGCTGAAGAAGAAGAAATTCCAAGTTTTACAATGGCCTTGTCAAAGTCCAGACCTAAACCCCATCGAAATGTTGTGGCAGGACTTGAAGTGAGCTGTCTATGGAGTTCTGTAAGGAGGAATGGGTCAAAATTCCTCAAAACGGATACGAGAGACTGACCAACGGTTACATGAAACACTTAGTTGGAGTTATTTCTGCTCAAGGGGGTGTCACCAGTTACTGAATCTAAAGTTTCACATACTTTTTCAACACATGGTTATTGAATATAGAATCATTTGAGGATGAATAAATGTTGAAAGAGTATCACGTTTTATGTTTCATTTATTTAATCGGGTTATCTTTATTATTATGACTTGGATTAAGATCTAATAACATATTAGGTTTGAAATATGTAAAATATGAAAATCCGAACGGGGTTCACACTCTTTCTCGACACTGCTGAACAACAGTCTTTGGAGTTTTAGGCTTTGTTAAAAATGTCCGTTTCTATTACTCCTTCGTATTGAATTATTCACTCCCCCACCATTATATGAATCGTCAGGAATAGGTGTTGCAATTCAATTCAAGGATAAAATTACTTTAGTTTTCCTTTAGATTTTCTCATGTTCTGTTTTATACTGTGTGCATTCCGATAAGTCCCAACACGGACATTGTTGTATATAATTTGCAGAAATCAATTATTTTGCGCATGCATTTATTTAATTGTTACATGCCTACCAACCTTCCATTGCGCATGTAAGCTGCTTCTGACTAAAACACGTGGTGTGTTTGTTCATTTTACAGCATTATAGAGAGGCAGAAAGTGCATTATGCCAGGTTATTAGTTTAGATATGTCTTCTGAAGATGCTAAGCAAGAGCTGATGAACGTGCGGACACTTCGTCTTATGGTAAGCTACTGCACCAATGTCATACATTGTGTGCATACTGGAGGTTTTTTTTGTAGTTCAGGCATAAGCGAATGAATTCGGACAATTTTTCACACGATAATTAAGTGCAAACGTAATGTATTCATATCGAGTGATTTTTCACAGCTGATGGAGTAGGGTGGAACTTTAATGAATATGAATAGTATTGCTGCCCTTCGACCTTGAGTGAAGTGTACACGTTCGCCTCATGGCAAATTCATTATAACTTTCTGTGCCATTTGCCACCTCGCAAGCGTGGAATTAACAGGTTAGCGCCGTCATTTGTGAAAACCGGTTTAAGTTGAAAGCACATCTGGTTTGCTGATGTTTCTCTGTGCTCTTTGTAGGAGATGGGCTTTCCACAGCAGCAATCGGAGGCTGCAATCTGGGAATATGACACTGTGGACGCTGCTTTAGAAGCACTGCTTCGAAAAACAGGTGCATATTCCAAAACTTATATTTATTTTTAAATTTCGTATTTGTTGCCATAATTGCACTAATCCCGATGGTAAGCTTTGGTGTGGAGCTTGATGTGGCTGGATTCTACAGCTCTGCACAGCGATCTTGCCACGGTAGCGAGATGTTAACTACCTTGCCTGTTATACAGGAGGTCGTGGGTTCGATCCCAACCCTGACGGCTGTATATTTGGAGTTTGCATGCTCTCCATGGTCGAGTGGATTTTACTCCAGGTCCTCTGTTTTTTTTTCCCTTCACATTTAGAAGCATGCATTTTTAGAGTATTTGCTATAAATTTCCACAAGCCCCACTTCATTGAGCTATCATTTGTGGTCAGTTCTCATCTGGAAAAGATAGATATAGCTCAGTGGGCCTTACCTGATAACATTGAAAGTTTGGTATAGATTTTAGCAGCAGCCATAACACTAGTCAATTCACAAACTCAGAACTTAAGTAATTGCCAATAAACTGACTTTGACTGATTTCGGTTTGCTCTAATTGTATGCAAGCATTTTGCAATGAATGTTTGTTTTGGATTCCATTGTGTTAAATCAAAAATATGTAATATGTTTTAGTTGTAGACACTAATTGATACACAAATTGAGAAATATAAACCTATACACCGTTCAAAAGTAATGCAATGCTCAAACATGTTAAAGCAATACAATCTAGGTGCTTGGTTAGACCCAGCACGTTATGGGCAAGGGTTTGTAGATTGCCTATTTGTGAATCTCCCCAACTTTTTGAGCAGTGAGTGTGACGACGAACTGGATAGACATTTTTTTTTCACGAACCTGCATTGACTTGTGTGATTTTCCCCTCACATTGGGCTCCTTTTCACAGCTACTCCCAATTCTCTTAGCACATGTGTAAGACACTCCAGTAATTGGTCATGGCACCCCCAATGTATCGGCATTGTAAAATAACAAGTTTCTTAACTCGGCCAAGCTATCCTGGATAAAACCTGTATTCCTATTTTCCTGTACTTAGTAGTAAACCGAAGTTTAACCATTTTAGAACGGTAAAGCAACTGGTGTTTATTCTCGAGCTGATCAAAAGAATGTTAAGCATTTGGAAATGAGAACACTGATCCTGTATTTGATCTCTACTCCTCCTGTTTCAGGTGCATTGCCAAAATCCGGTGTGGGCAACATGGGGATACAGAATCATAAACTACCGAGTACTCGACCAAGTAAGTAAACCTGTAACTAATATATACGTTGAGGTATTTTTTCATTGTGTTCGTAAATGTATAATATAGAAAATAAAAAACATTTCAATAAATGATCCTCTTACGTTACAAATGTTTGTATGGAAACATGCAAATGGGAAAATGCATTCGAAATTGCCAGCTTATACCCATGAACTTGCATTGTAATGCCCAAACTAATTGCACCGCTATAAGGTGGAACGTGCATTTCATTCTTTAAAAGTAAATAGGTTTTTTTATTTTGTTGCCGATCTTGCTCCGCAAAGTACAATCTGAGCAGCTGTGGTACATTTATAGAAATTGGTGTCGGAGTATAGGAGTTTTTGTGAAAGCAAATTACATTTTCTTGGGCAGATTGGTGGACTGTTTCCCAGGTACAGCAAGTAGTTTATGGACACCCTTAATTAAACTGGTAACTTATTATTGTAGGCTATTGGGAAGTTAGATGCACCATACACAATAAAGCAGTGGATGTTAGGTTAAAAGATGTTTATTTTTTCATGTAAATGTCATGCATTCAATTCAGATCCCATACCACATACGTAGCATGAAGGCTCACTTTAATTGTGAGATGTGGTTTGTAATTGATAATTATCTTTTAGCTGCCTAAAATTAATTCAAGTAACATTAAATTGATACATTATGACTTACATCTGTAAAAAAAGTGCCATCCTCTCCTTGGCAATGGACAAAACATTAAACCCAGTTTGAGCGTTATGCGATAACAGTACCTTTTACCCATCCATCTAACTTTCAATGTCGGCTCTTCCCAAATTGTAGTTTTTAAAGTCTCCATCAGCACCCACACACTTTGTTTTACAAGTGGACCATTCATAATACAGGTTTTTTTTTTGGGTTAGATCGCATAAATATGAATGTCGTTAAACCCGCCACCACCTGACACGGCCAACTACTAAGGTTTGTCACGTAAATGGAACATGCCAATTCGTTACTAGCATCATCAGGTTGCCTGATGATGCTCGTTGTAATTACTGGTGAAACGTCGTACTCAGATTGTAAATGTGGATTTACTCTCCAACACACCTGTGTGCCGTACAAGTAACGAATTGGCATGTTCTGTTTACGTGTAAAACCCTACTAAATGGCTGGTGGTGGCGGGTTTAACGGCACGTTTATATTTATTCGATGGAACCCAAAAAAAACTGCATGATATTGGTCGTGAGAGCCGACGTGTTAAACTAAGTGGACCATTATTTAAAAAAGCCATCCTATTTGTGTGTGCTCGCGCAAACGTTGTGCATTTACACCACCTTTTTAGATGTCGCCGTACAGAGAACCCAAGACTTAAGTGGTGCTTTGGGCAATTCTTCAGTGCCTCCACCACCTCCGTGAGTCACGCACCGTCGCCGTGTCACTTGAATCCGTAGCTTAATGTCATATTTTTACATCTAATGGTAATGTTATTGGTAGACTTGCAAAACAATATGAGTGCACTTGAGACATTTTCCAGATGTTAAGATCCATAATACAAAGGTGGCATTTTTTGCATATTAAAAATGAAAGTAAAGCACTTGTGAGCATTATTGGGTATGTTATTCAAGGACTCTTTACCGTTTTATTAGTCTGTCTGCAGTTTAAAACAATGTGAATTTATTTTATTCTCAGGTATAACCTCATCTCTTTATGGGTGGGAAACTTGACTTCTGCTGTTACTGAAGACATGCTTCAAACCCTGTTTAGCCCGTAAGTATGTATTCGCGGCTATACGGTGTATTACTATTCCAAACTTTGACAATACATATTCTCAAATATTTGCACACTTGCGAGAAAATGTGCTGAAAGAATTTGCGATTATAGTCCCGTTGGACTCCTGTGGACCAGTGATTTTATGATTTGCTATGTAAGTTATAGTCCCCTAAACAGCCAGTTAAAATGTGCATGGTACCCAGCTTTTGTGTACTCCCCATTTCATCTGTGGTTACTGTCTTGCACATGTTGAGAGACATTAGGATGAGCACTGATTTCTCCACGCCACTGTATTGCTGCATTGCCGGTATTGCTTGGAATGTATTGTATGCACGTTTGGATAATTAAATCTTTTTTTTATATCTATCGACTGAATATTAATATTTTAAAATATCAATATATTTTGGAGTGCTTTCAGTTAAATATAAAATGTATTTTAAACAATATAGCAGGACCCAAGATGCATTGCATACCGTGACAGACAATCCAAATTGTATCGAATTGTCTTTATATACTGTACACAAACGACTTTGTGTGCTCAATGGGTGGTGTACTGTACCGTGGCGAGTTTGCTGCTTGTTTGACCCGATTTACATGTGAATCGGACAGATTTGGACAGATTCACAGCTTCAGAATGCTGCTGGACAGAAAGTGTGCATTTGTGAACTACACAACCAAGGAGGCCGCTGACAGAGCTTTATGGTCCTTACAGGTGCGTTTGTAAATAACAAGGGAATTGTCTCCATGGCATCTGCGGTTACTGTGCCTCTGTTAACATACAGAATTGTTGTTTTTCAATCAATGTACAGCGTTTGTGTTCCATGACACAGGATTGCAAATGTTGTGGCGTGGCTCTCCAACACACAACCGGCGTGCTGTACTCGTGACGAATTGGCCACGTTCTGTTTACTGACAACCCTTACTAGTTGGCTGTGTTGGGTGGTTGCGGGTTTAACGACACATTTATATATTTATGCGATCTAACCCAACAAAACCTCTTGTGGACACAGAATTTAGTTTACATCTTGCCACCCTGGCGCCTGGTGTACATGAGGTCGTGGGTTGGATCCCGACCCTGTGACGCCTGCTGTATATTTGGAGTGTGCATGTGTCTCTCCCCTCCGAATTCAGAAACATTTGTTTAGATTATTTGGTGGCTACTATAAATTTCCACAAGCCTCTTCATTGAGCTATCATTTGTAGCCAGGTCGCTTCTCAGTAAGAACTGGCTCAGTATTCCTTGCCTGGTAAAATAAAGATGATTTAGTAGTTAAAAGATAGTAGCAAAGATGCCGTTTTATGGCTAAATGTAGAGTAAACTAAAGTGTCAAATATCAGAGTAAAATACTACAGTCATGGAAATTACGACCGGGATGCTATCAAAATTGGCATTTAACATATAAGCACTCTACTGCAACTAGCTAAAACATTTTAATCAAATTGATTGTCGTTTTAGTTGGCTGGGTCTTAATACTTGATTTTTTTCACGGCCTTTGGCTGATGTTTATTTAGTCATATATTTATGTTTTTTTGGCACTTTTATTCATTTAAAAAAGAGTTATATAGCTCAGTGGGCCTTACCTGGTGAAAAAAAAAGTTTATCAAATATATATTTTTTATTTTCGCTCATTCGCCCCCCAAGTTGAGCACCTGTCAGATGTCTGTGTCACAACCAAGTCTGGGTGGAACAAACTGTCCCGTGTGTTTTTTATATATAGAAATCTGGAGCTGCTCGCATAATAATGATAGTAAATGTATTTTTCATGTCACGGCCTTTACACCCGGGGCATCTTGGAGTGCTTTTATACACGATGAGTGATTTTCACCATGTAAAAGTAATAACGTAATACATTTCATTTTAACATTTTTCACAGGTCTTTGAGCTGCAGCATTAGTCACCCACTTTAAAGTGTGTTAAGTGACAAACATGTTTTGCCCATGTAATCATTTTTTCGTATCATCTGCATCCTGTCAAGAAATCCATTTCTCTTGGAACTCTTGCAGCACGCATTCTTCTACAATGCTGTGTTGGAGAAGGGGTCCAGAAGGTGGTGTCTCAGAACTGTCAAACTCAAATTTTAAATTCTCAATCTTGATTTGAAGCTTTCGTGACTGCAGGAATCCATACCCTCTGGTTCTTTTGGTAAAGTCACGTAGGTAGAAAAAATAATTTTTAAAAAACACGACGTTTCGGTCGCAACACAAGCGGCCGTCCTCGGGTGAGAAAACATTTTAATTCTCAGCCTGACATAAGTTAAATTGTGTGAATTTGTATTCTTGTACAAACTTTTACTGAGCTGAGACCAAATTTTGATTTAAAGCTTTCGTGACTGCAGTAATTCATATTCTTAGCTCTTTCGGTAAAGTAATGTTGAAGGGAAACAATAAAATAATAAAATATATATAAAACAATAAAAATTCTCACGACGTTTCGACCATAACACAAACGGTCATCATTTATATATATTTAATTGTTTCCCTTCAACGTGACTTTACCGAAAGAGCTAAGAATATGAGCTGAGACCATCAACTTGCTACCTGTTAATTGAATGGCTTCCGGGATTCTAAACCCGGATCTCGGGCAAGGTACCTGCTCATTGCACTGACCATTGAGGGGCGGCAAGAAACTCTGGATCGTGAACTTTTTTGGAGACCTTGTATTTTCGGTCCTTGATATGGCATGCATTCATCTGTGAGTGTGTGTGTGTCTCCCTTGTGTCCTCGGCAGGGATACCAAGTAGCAAACACGAACCTGCTCATCCGCTTCCAGAGTGCCTCCACAAAGAGCGTCGCCGCCGCCTTTCAGCAGCCTCAAGCAGTGCCGCCGCCGCCAGCATCCAAAAACGGCTTCTCCAAAATGCAAAGCAAAAATGGGTTTCACTAAACTCCGCATTACGGTGAGAAGTTCAATCTGGTCTCTTCCGCGTTATCACGCGAGTACATGTCAATGTGGGAAGGATGAAGCCCTGCTGGCAGTGATTAAATGTAGTTTGAGTAAATTATTTGGACTGCAGGGATATTTAAAAGCGATGGCGGTTGATGTGAATTATCCACACCCCCCCCTTTTCACCCCACCCAGTGCTAGCAGGGCTCTTCAATTAACTTGGTATTTATTGTGTCCTTGGCACTACTTACCAACATGCCACTCGTCACATATTTACATTCTATATATTAACGAACACACTTTTATAAATATTATGTAAGTTCTGCTTTGATTGATCATTAAAATTGTTGATTTGTCTCTTCCCAGATGAAGAAGGCAACGTTTACCAGCCTGTCTTCTTGAATGGACTTCAAATCCACCCTGGACACAGATTTGACTCCACTTTGTTGTTCCATAATATAGTTTGCATTGGATATACCAGCATTATGAAGCATTCTGATGTAATGTTTGAAGCTGATAATGACGTGAAGGCAAACGTTTTGCCTGGTGTCATATCAATGATTCCAGGAAATTGAACCTTGTCGAGAATTACACATGTATAAATGGCAATCATTTAATTGCCTATGTTAGATGGCCGACTCAATTTGAATTTGTGCAACGCTAAAACAAACCTTAGTTATTTAAGAACTTAAATTGCAAGCCTCCAATATAACTTTTTAGGAATACATTTTTTTTATAATTAAGTTTGTCGTTAATCTGACATGTGTAACTTGCCTCTGGTCAGTTTTCAGGCCATTTTGCGTTTTTTTCACTTAGTTACCAATTGTGTTTATGATGCTTTGGGCACACACGGTTGGAGAATACCTTACTTTAAATAACTACTTTAATTCAACACTTTTCTCGGCTTCAACTCGTTCCGTTATATTACATGTTAAACTAAAGCCTACATCAGCCAAGTACTTGCAACAAAAGTATATGATCACGATGTAACATTTGGCATTTTATAATTGATCATAACCAGCCCCCAAGTGTAAAACATGATATTCGTAACTGATATATGTTAACTTCAACTTTATTTTGCAGCTTACTATATTGACCGGCTAAGTATAAAAGCATTTACCTGCACACACGTGTCATCAAGGTTCTGCCATTTTTTTAAAAGTCGTATTAGGTCCAAAAGTTATCCTGATATTGACAGCAATTACAAACGTTTAAATCGGATATCTTCATAGATGGCAACAATAAGATCAAGCTGAGGTTAACAAAACTAAGAAATGGGTCGGTAGCAGTTTAGTTTAGAAAAAGATTACACTTGTTGCTTATTTCAATGCAGTTATATTTTTCCTGTAGGCACCACCAGTCTGCCTTTCAAAGATGTGCAGCAAATTCCACCACTTGATGTAAAACCACCAATGTGGATAAGACACCCACAATTAGTTTGAGCATGGGGGTATTAACTTTATTGACTGTCAAATAAATAGTAATTAAAATCATTGGTTTTTGGTGACTTTCTAATGGCCTTAATCTACAAATAGGAGTTTTGGTCAATTCCTATTTTTATTAAATGCTTAACCTGGATTTCAACCAAACAATTATGCCTTCTCAGCTCTGCTAAAATAACTTCATCTCAGAATCTACCGATGATGCTGTTGTGAAGCTGCTCCACATTACAGCTATCAAAATAAATGTTCTTAAACCACATCAACTCGTGTTGGTAACCCGTTTTTCTAAGCCATACAGTGAACGTATGCCTTGGACTTTAATTAGTTTTTATCTATAGTTTTGTATGCTCTTTAGGTGTTTAATAAAGCCAACAGATGTACAGTAAACATCAAAGCATAATATACGTTTTCATTTAATCGGCACGAGTCGGGCAGGACTGTTTAAATGAACAATTTTCACGTCCTAAATAACGAAATTAGTCTTTGTCACGGATTAAGCCGGGTTATTAAAGTTTTCTGCAGCTACACAGCTGAAATCTCCCCCTTGCAGATTGAGAACATTTGCAATTACTACCAATGTTTAAGATTTCTATTTTACATGTTGCAATCATCTTAATGTGATATACCTTGGACGTGTGAGTCTTGCCTAGAGGGGGGTTAAAACAAGGTGTAATTCCCAGTCCAAGGCCCGCGTGCACATTGAGAGAACGACGTGTATACGATTTAAAAGATGATGCTTTAGCGCCACCAGGGGGATCTCTATTCTAAGCCAGTTTAACCAAGCGGAGGATTACAGCTGGAATCCAGCGACATGGCCCAACTTTACATTGTCAACGATAGCCGCTCGCTTGTAGACCGCACAACAAGCGGTGATATAACGTGGATTGCAAACGTGGTTTGTAAAGGCATTGGGATGGGTATTTAGCACTGCAATTGGCTAAGCTCCTGTAAACGTTGACATTCCACGGAAGTTACATGGACCGGTGTTGGTTCGTGGTGAATATATTAGGTATTTTTTAAGTCCTTTATATGAAATGTCGTTCTTGCAAATCTGAGTGAATGACAAGTGGGAATTTATATTTATTATTTTACCTATGCCAGCTCATGAACCTTTTTTCGAATTTCACATGTAGTATTTTGCAAATGTCACATTTTTATTGCGTTTTTTGCTATCGGTTTTAAAGTTTGAACGAGAACTCTTTAATATTCAGCTGAATTGTTCGATTAGAACGTTATAAGTAAAATGCTAAAAGTTATCTTTTGCAATTAATCTTTTGTAATGAATGTTACGTTCATACCTGACACAATGACATCAATAATTGTAAATACAAACCTCTTAGTATCTTTGATAATAAATCTTATTTGAAACTTTGCATTCCGATGCAGCATGTCACCACTTATTGCGTGCAGAACTTGCTATAACATCAAAACACTGCACATGCGGAGTTGAGTTTCTTGTACAGCTTAAAATGGTTAAATTATAACCTTAAGGTCCGTGCCAAATGTGGAAGTACAGTATCGTGGAGTCGTTGGATGACCCCGTGTTCGACCTGCGGTATTTATTGGGCTTCATCGCGTCGCCTGTGAGTTGCAGTAGCTAATCCGAATCCTTTGATCTAAATACAGATTCTGATAGTTTCACACGTAGGCTTTCGCGACCAATATTATTCATAATAAAGGTTTTTGGGTTAAAAGTGTCACGTTGTCAACGTGACACTTTTCTTTGCTGATTGGCCGTGTCGGGTGGTGGAGGGTTACGACACATTTATAAAAAAAACGCGATCTAACCCAAAAACCTTTATTATGAACAGATTCTGATGTCGATTTTATTTCGTTTTTAACCGGTTGACAACGCGAGAGACCCGGGACCCGTAAGTCTCCCTTGCAGGAGTTACATGGGTCGCCAAAAATGACACGCACACACAAAAAACAATGTCGCAATCTCGAGTAAATAAATCGGAACAAAGAAAACATGACGCTTCTTAATCCGCCCCACGGAGAAGGGGGGAAGACGCTCACGCTGCGTGGGAGGACGTGACGAATGGAATTCCCCCTTTCATGAACTTCTACCGAAATGCGCCACGCGAAAGCGGCGAACAAGCGGTTGGGATGCTTTTTGAAGCCCTTCCTGAATGCTTGGAATTACCACAAAGGGCATTGAGTCGTGCTGATGGTCCGCAGTGGCTGGTGGGTGTAAACTGTTTATGCGCGAATTTGCAGGATTTAAACAATATCCGCTCGTGCTGTCGCTGCATATTTTTTCTTATTGGCTATTAGACCGTTTAAACAACAACAAAAAAGAACATTTGAAAAATTCGTCTGGCTGATAAAATCCACGGCACTCGACCTCGGTGCACACGTGTTGGGTCGCCTCACTCGCACGAGTCTCAATATCCGTGACATTGCGGTAACAGTATTGCACTACATCGTTTATTTTTATTAACCTATAAAATGCAGTCTCTGTATGGGGCCAAACTTGCGGAGGATTTGGCTCGCGAACCGTGGGGTTTACATGTAACAAAAAAGTACCACGCCATAAGCCCCGTGCTGAGCCAGCGCTATTCAGATTTCGCGTCCGTCACCTTTAAAGTAGTTTAATTAGCGATTTCGTGCTGTTTTTGGTGATTAATTTCTTACAGCGCGTGCTCGACCCTACCGAGTCACGCGTTCAGTGTGGGGGAGGGGGCGCCTACCAACTCACACGCGTTCAGTGGGGGGGAGGGGGCCCCTACCAAGTCACACGCGTTCAATGGGGGGTGGAGGGGGCCCCTACCAACTCGCACGCGTTCGGTGGGGTGGAGGGGGCCCCTACCAACTCACACGCGTTCGGTGGGGGGGAGGGGACCCCTACCAACTCACACGCGTTCGGTGGGGGTAGGAGGGGGCCCCTACCAAGTCACACGCGTTCAGTGGGGGGGAGGGGGCCCCTACCAACTCACACGTTCAGTGGGGGGGTGGAGGGCCCCTACCAACTCACACGCGTTCGGTGGGGATGAGAGGGGAATTCTCTTTCGTGTGGACACTGCGCAAGGTCACAGATTGACAGCTCCCTTCAAACATTAATTACCATGACTGTTTACCCATTACAAATTGCCTTTTATAGGTTAGAGATTTAATGATGGGGATGAACCAATGTTTATGAAGAATAGCCTTTTTCTGTAATACACCAAATTACGTCTTCATTCTGTCATATTTACACTTGGGGATGAGCAGTAACGTTCTGTCACGCTTGATTGGTGCGCATCTGCTCAGAGTTACAGCGAGGTTCGGTTCATGTTGTATTCGTTGAACTTTCATTTATTTTGCCGCTCTTGCTCGCGGCAAATGTTTGCACCAGAATGGCAAAACATCCTCGCAGTCGCTCCTAATTACTTATTATACACGCGTGCATTTCCCCTCGCCCTTGCTTCTTTCGCTAAAGTCTATTATTATTTACAAACTTATTTAGTCTATATAAAAGTTAGAGTGTGCGTGTGTACGTCCATGTGTGCGTGTGAGTCCATATATGTGTGTGAGTTGTGTCTGTGCGAGTCCGTGTGTGTGTGCGTCAATGTGTGTGTGTGTGATAGTCACTGTGTTTGTGTACGTCCATGTGTGTGTGTGCGGTGTGTGTTTAAATCGATGTGTGTGTCAGTCGATGTGTGTGTGTGGAAGTCCATGTGTGTGTCTTAGTCGATGTGCGTGTGTGTGGGTCCATGTGTGTCAGTCGACGTGTGTGTGTGTGTAAGTTGATGTGTTTGTGTGTAAGTTGATGTGTTTGTGTGTGGGTCGATGTGTTTGTGTGTGAGTCCATGTTATGTGTTAGTCGATATGTGTGTTTGTGAGGCCATTTGTGTGTATGTGTGTGTGACTATGCATGTGTGTGTTTAAGTCCATGTGTGTGTGTGTAAGTCGATGTGTGTGTGTGAGTCGCTGTGTGTCTGTACATCGATATGTGTGTGTGTGTAAGTAAATATGTTTGTGTGTGTGTCGTTCCATGTGTGTGTGAGTCTATATGTGTGTGTGTGTGCGTCGATATATGTGTGTGTGTGAGTCGATGTGTGTGTGTGTGTGTTAGTCGATATGTGTGTATGTGTAAGTCCATGTGTGTGTGTGTGTGTAGGTTGATGTGTGTGTGTGAGTCTATGTATGTGTGTGCGTGAGTTGATATGTCTGTGTCAAATTTCGATTTAAAGCTTTCGTGACTGCAGGGATTCATCTTCATGGTTCTTTCGGTAAAGTCACGACGTAGAATGGAAATAAAATAATACAAAATAAAACTAAAACATAATAAAATGAAATTGTCACAACCGAAAGAACAAAGAAGATGTCTGTGTCAGTCGATGTGTGTGTGTGTCAGTCGATGTGTGTGTGTTAGTCAATGTGTGTGTGAGTCAATGTGTGTGTGTTAGTCAATGTGTGTGTGTGTGGTGTGTGTGTAGACAACTAATATTGAACAATTAAGTTACTTATTTTTACAATAACAATGTCCGTGTCTAAGTACATGTGTGCGAGTGAGTCGATGTGTGTGTGTAAGTCTGTCTGTGTGAGTCGTGGTGACGTCACCGCCACTTAGTGGCGAATGGCGGTTGTTGTGTGTAAGTCGATGTGTGTGCGTAAGTCGATGTGTGTGCGTGGTTCGATGTGTTTGTGTAACTCCATGTTGGTGTGTCTAAAGTCGATGTCTGTGTGTAAGTCCATATGTGTGTGTTTGACTCTATATATGTGTGTGAGTCGATGTGTGTGTGTAAGTCTATGTGTGTGTGTGAGTCGATGTATTTGTGTAACTCCATGTTGGTGTGTCTAAAGTCGATGTCTGTGTGTTACTCCATGTGTGTGTGAATAGATGTCTGTGTATTTGAGTCCATATGTGTGTGTGTGTAAGTCGATGTGTGTGTGTGTCTTTTTCGAACCGGGCAACGCCGGGTACTTCACGCTAGTCATTATATAATTATTCCATTACTCAACGAATTCCTTGGTTTGACGTCATTTGTGCAATAAACGCATCCCAATGTAGACTTTGGTATAGGCCCCATCCCTGTTCGCTGTGTTGTTCTCTCGTCTTTGTGTAGCCGGTGTATTCTACACACATCTGTGCGCGTTCCCCTATCGCGAATACGAAAGAGGCCGCTGCATGGATGACGATGGGACGCCTCTGCGCACAGGAATGTTCAGACTGCCCCAATCCAGGCGGAGTCTGGAACAAAATACCGGACATTTCGTGGTGGTAACGTAATCATCATCATCACCACCACTACCACCACCATCATCGGGAGAGTAAAAAACAAACTCCGCAGAAGCAGCAAGTGGCTCTCAAGGCCCGTGAAGTGAGCGTGAAAGAATAAGTGGGGGGTGGGGGTAGCGATAGGAATTTTGGAACGGGTTTCTCGCACGTACACACACTCACTCATCCACGCACTAACTCATCCACGCACTCACTCATCCACGCACACACGAGCCTCCACGTAGCAATAAGCGCAGTCAGCATTGCCCGCAAGTCGCCGAGTTGAGTAAGACTGCTGCTGCTGCTGCTATAAGAGAAAGTAAGAGGACGAAAGTAAGTCACTTTGGACCAAGGTAGTCCTTTGTTGATTGATGTATAGTGCTTATTGCGTATGCAGTGTGTACAAGCTGTACATCGGATGTGTCATCTGAAACGTTTAATGTTACATTTGACATGCTTAATGTGTGCTTTGTGCTCGTTTAGTATGTCCCATGATTTAAAAAAATATAGAATAGTAAAAAATAAACCTTGTACTCGTGTTGGTGATGATGATGTGTATCCAGTAGCCGTGTTCTTTAAAGTAATTTCTAAAGTGTTCGTTGTCAGTGTTAGTCCATCGGCAGGTCGCGTATGGTGGAGTATAGGAACTCCCATCTCTTCCAGGACGGTCTAGACAGCCAATCGTGTGTGGAAGAGTAGACCAATACACCCTTTCGTACAGCTGCCTCTCTAAGTAGAGGCCCCTTCAGACAGCAGTTGGCATGAACAAGAAATCACAGGGCCGCATCTTTGACTTTTTTTTTTACAATTATTGCATTCAAAGCTCATGGTGTTACTGCATTAGCATTGAGTGGAAATACCTCTGGTGTTTAAAGAGCAATGCTTGCGTGGAAAGGCAAACTTGGGAGAGCGCGCAGTTCGTATTTAGCTCCGGGCAAATGGTGCAAGTTTCAGTGGCAGAGCAGCATTCTGTGAAAAGATCCGTAGCACTGATGTCATGTCTAGACCTGTCCATGTAGGGGTCTGGTTATATGAGGCTTCTGGGGCTACCGTTTTGGGCCATTGAGGAGGGAGAATGGTTTTGTTCTCACATCGTTATAGTAAATTTAGTTCCTCCCAATGACTCACGTTACTGAAATCGAAACCGTTAGCCCAAATTGAACATCTCGTGCTCCCCCCCCCCCCGCCACTCGACTCTTATTTCCGAGCACGTGCAGAAAGTAACGCATTGTTTGAGTTGTTGTTGACTGGCAGTGAAGTTATGCATCAAAAATAACCTTTACAGCGTGAATGAAGAAGACCCTTTATGTTAACGTATTGATTCTTCTCCAATTGATTTTTCTACAATGATAATTAATTCATGTTTTAGCTGTCCTTCAATATGATTGGAATTAATGCTTAAATGACAATACGTGTAATGCTGACAGTGAATTAAATCAAACAAATGTACAATTATTTTGTATATATATTTGTACATTTAGTGACTTGCTCCTATAGTTTTTTTTTATATTGTTTGCTGTTGTAACTTGCTAACCCACCCATACTGGACATCTGTGAAAAAGAGCTTCACGGCTCATTGGATTCCTCCAGTTTAAATACAGATTCCAATTCGCTTCTGAATGATTTTAACTGAAAATAACACCAACAGAAAAGCCATTCAAGGATGAAGCTCCCGCTCATCACCCTGCCACTCCTCCTGCTCCTCCTCATCATCCACTTGTGTCTCGCTCATGAACTCCTGCGGAGGAGAAGTCAGCGGAGAGAGAACGGCAGGGTAATCCGACAAATCCAGCGGCCCAGGCAGTCTTCCCAGGCCAGGCAACCCTCGCAGGCCGGGCAACCGGGGCAACCGGGGCAACCGGGGCAACCGGGGCAACCGGGGCAACCGGGGCAATCGGGGCAACCCGGGGAGCAGGCCAACGGCGGATACAAGCTGCGTCTTGCCGGCTACCCGCGCAAGCCGTTTGAGGGTCGCGTGGAGGTGTTCCACCAAGGCGAGTGGGGCACGGTGTGCGATGACGACTTCTCGATGGAGGCGGCCAACGTGGTGTGCCAGGAGGCGGGATTCATCGGGGCCAACGGCTGGGCGCATAGCGCCAAGTACGGCCGAGGAATAGGTACGCATTTCAAACCCTGTCACAAAGTGCGTCATGGAGAATTGGACTTCATGACTGCGTTGCGCTTCAGGCCCATGTTCGTTAATTTGTTCCCGAAATAGTCGCTCCTATCAGCGGCGTGCCAGGTATAAGCAAACTAAGCAAAAACATGAACCTCTAAATAGGTGAGATTGACACATCTCTCCTATCTAGGTCGCGAATTCCTACGTGTTGAACTCCTATCATCGTTTTAATTTCTAACCTCTTAAATATTCTTTCTCTTCTATCTCATATAAATGCATATTGTCTTCTACTTATATCTCATGAATACATCCCTCTCCTTATATACTATATCATATATGTGTATCTCATACGAAACACATCTCTCTCACTTATTACTTACAGTTAACATGAGTGCATCTCTCTTCTACCATTCACTCCCTTCTATCCCATCGGAATGCATCCTGTCTCCCATCTGTCTTTCTCTGAAGTATATATTTATCTCTCTTGCACATCTTTGCACATCTGTATATGTATCTGAACCATCTTTCTCACATCTTGTCTCAATACATCTCTCCTCCTTGAACTCGTATCCCATCTGCATGCTTCTACATCCATGTTATCTCAGTATTTCACCACGACATCTGCATCTTATTTCTCTCTACTCCATCCTATTTGGATTTTCATCTCACACTATCTCTGTTTATCGCTTACACCTTTCATCTCACAGTATCTATACGTGTTGCCTACATTTATCTCACCTCAAGACGTATTTATCCCTTGGCTGTGTGCCTCGCTCAGTCATATCACCAGGAGGTCATACTTTCAAGTGAAGACCCAAATTTATGGGCAAGCACCAACACTGACCGCTAACGCTTATTTTTATGATGATAAATCAGCAACAAAATATTACAAATTAGCCTCACCGCTACGAGGCTGTTGTGTTTTAGTAGTAACGGTGCATGATATTTTGATATTGTCATTAGAAAATGTCACGTAGTCAGGTTAATATATCATCACTCTTGATAGATGCCGTGTGATATATGTCACACGATCATATGTAGTCCCCAGAAATACAAATATATTAATCTTGTCACAATCATCAATCACCATGAGCTCATTACACCCCCAAATGGATGTTCAAAGGCCACCATTACATCCTAATCGATTCGTACCTGCCACCGTTAATTTGCAGAATCTATGTCCAGGTCAGACCAAGGCAGATGCACACATTTCAAGAAATTTTTTAATTGTAACAAGTATTTTTGTGGCCAACATTATCCCTCTGCCCCATATATATTTATTCCTAAACTTATATATATATATTTTTAAAACATATACTGCACCCAGACAAACAGCATCGATGTCTAAACAGAACAACAAAAAGGTGAGAGGCATTGACATCCAGAAGGATATTCTTGGTTCTTTCGGTAAAGTCACGTAGAAGAGAAACAATAAAATAATAAAAATATAAAACAATAAAATTCTCACTGCAACACAAGCAATCATCATCAGGTGTGAAAACCACAGCAAGAAAATTTGAAAAAAGTGGCGGGTTTTTTTTAACGTTAGCAACACGGAGAGCGATTTGACAGTTTGTTCTGATGGACGAGTCCATCTATGTTCGGAAAAGAGGAGGGGGGAGACGAAAATAATGGATGCGGTCTGAAAGCCACCGTAAGCGTGAACAATCAATTAAGACTCAAAATGGTTTATCAAATCCTTCTAATGATTGCTAAGCCAGAATCCATCTTCTCGGTTGAAATTGTCTCTGTGTTTGTATATGTGGATAGCCTCATGAACGAATCTCTCATGGTAGCCAGATGGCTGGCTACCATGGTCGGATATGCATTGGGCTCTATGGTGCAGAGTCTTGATGAGGGAATTCTTCTGGGATGGATGGTGGTGGGAATCCGGTTTCAGGTAAGCATCCGTATGGGTAGTTTTCCTGTAGACAGAGTGGCTCATTGAACCATCAGGTCTCTTTTTTATTAGGACATCCAAAAAAGGTAGCTTGCCATCTTTTTCGACTTCCATGGTAAATCTGATGGCTGGGTGTATGGAATTGATGTGGTCGAAGAATTGGTCTAGAGCAGGCCGGCCATGTGGCCAGATGACAAAAGTGTCATCCACGTACCTCTTCCATAAGGTTGGGCGCAGAGTGGCAGTCTGGATGGCATCAGTCTCAAATTTCTCCATGAAAATGTTGGCTACATCCGGAGATAGGGGGGAGCCCATTGGGGTGCCCTCAGTTTGTTTGTAGAAAGTTCCATTCCAAGTGAAGTATGTATTGGTTAAGCAGTGTCTTACCAGGGGGGGTACCTCAGTGTTTAGTCCTTGATGAACCAAGTCTTCAATGATTGCGATGGTGTCAGGCAAGCTACCTTTTGAGGCTGTCCTAAAAAAAAGAGACCTGATGGTTCAATGAGCCACTCTGTCTACAGGAAAGCTACCCATACGGATGCTTACCTGAAACTGTATTCTCACCACCGTCCATCCCAGAAGAATTCCCTCATCAAGACTCTGCACCATAGAGCCCAATGCATATCCGACCAGGAACACATAGCCAGTGAACTCAAGCACGTACATCAAGCTCTTAAGGCTAATGGTTATTCCGACGACACAATCCGCAAAGCTATCACTCCAACCATGAAGAAGGACCCTCTAGAGGAGCCTTTCAAAACCATCACTTTACCCTAAATTGCGGGGATCACAAAAAAGATCTCCAAAATCTTGAATAAACACAAGATCCAGGTCCGATTCAACACATTACATAAAATCTGTGATCTGGTTCCGTCTGTAAAAGATGTGATTCCGGACATACAGTACCCTGGCGTCTACAAACTAAGTTGCCTCTGTGGTAGTAGTTACATTGGAGAAACCAAACGACATGTCTCGGACCGCATTCGTGAACACAAAGCAGACCTGAAATACCGTAAGACCAACACCTCGGCCGTGGCAGATCACTGTTATAATTCAGTAGGTTCACATGACATTGACTTCTCCAAGACAGAGATTCTTTGCAAGCCATCTGGCTACCATGAGAGATTCGTTCATGAGGCTATCCACATATACAAACACAGAGACAATTTCAACCGAGAAGATGGATTCTGGTTTAGCAATCATTGGAAGGATTTGATAAATCATTTTGGGTCTTAATTGATTGTTCACGCTTACGGTGGCTTTCAGACCACATCCATTATTTTCGTCTCCCCCTCCTCCTTTCCGAACATAGATGGACTCGTCCATCTGAACAAACTGTCAAATCGCTCTCCATGGTGCTAACGTTAAAAAAACGCCATTTTTTTCAAATTTTCTTGCTGTGGGTTTCACACCTGATGATGATTGCTTGTGTTGCAGTCGAAACGTAGTGATAATTTTATTTTTTTCTATTTTTATTATTTTATTGTTTCCCTTCTATGTGACTTTATCGAAAGAACCAAGAATATGAATCCCTGAAGTCACGAAAGCTTTAAATCAAAATCCAGAAGGATGACGAGAGAGTTTCTAGCGAGTGTTTGGTTGCGTAAGGACAGACTGCGGGAACCCCCAATCACGTTTAAGCTTAGGATAATAGATACGCCGGGCAGTGGTTGGTGTACACCAGTCGTCTAGCATTGTGGAGGCGTAGGTTGACGGTTGGCTCAAATGTTGCACAAAGTCCCTTCCCATGGGGGCATTAAGGTGTCATACCCTGGCTCTCCAGGAGAAGGCAGTAGAGCAAGTGGACTAATTTGCCATCTGTTTCCATCTGTATGGAGCGTTGCCCCCTTGCACACGTGGAGGGTTTTTTTCCAGGTGCTCCGGTTTCCTCCCATGTGTTCCCATGTGTGTAGTGTAAATACTCATCATAAATGGTTGAAAACATCTTAGAATAAAACCCAATGCAGAACCCTCCTGAGAAAGAGTCCTACGATTCTTAAATCAACACTTGTTTTCAGTTTCCACTCATTGAAACTGCAAGTTGAGTTGACTTTTATGGGGTTTTTTTTTTATACAGAGAGGTGTCTGAGTGACCCAGAGGTCAGATCACTGAGCCAGCGTTGCTGAGATCCTACCGTCTAAAAGGGGCAAAAAGGCCCCGTAGAAGGATTTTTCTGGGAAGCCACTGCAAAAGTCTCATCTCTCGTGTCATTCTCTAACACACGGGGGAAGGGGGCAGGGGGGGAGGTGAAAATAAAAGGAGCACCTTATGAGAGTGAAGCCACGGGATGCAGCGGTGCGGTGCGTTGAAGCCATCCATGCTGTTGTCCGGCACGTGCGCTCGCGCGAACGCTCCCCAGGGAGGATTTGGCTGGACAACGTGCACTGTCGTGGAAGCGAGCAGAGCCTGGCGGAGTGCGTCTCGCGCGGCTGGGGCATCAGCGACTGCAACCACGACGAGGACGTGGGTGTCGTGTGCAAGGAAACGCGCCTCAAGGGCACCCCGGAGTTTAACGTCATCGAGGTGCCCATTGGGGGGGGGGGTTTGTTTTTCCTTTGTCGGTGCCTTCATTGACGTCACGCTTTAGGTCCACATGTCTTTGGACTCCTGTAATAGCAGGCCTTTGACTAAATCATCTGGAATGTGCCCGATCTGCTCACATCTTGGAAGTTGAGCAGCCCGAACAGTGCTGATTGGAAGACCACCATGCCTAACAGGTGTTATAGACCGTGGGGCTACGTTGCGGGTCAGCAGAGGACAGTGTAGCGAAATCCATTGTTGCACTGTGCTTATATGCCCTGTCTAACCTCACCGCCTTCACCAACTCGCACTTACCAGAATGGTGAAGTATAGTTGACTCACCCTCACAAACTGCACTGCAAGAGGAGGCCCACATCCAGCAGTGGATGAACGACAAAAGGGCTGTACTTGACTCATAGTGAATGTACGTGAGGTGAGAAGAGTGTGTATGACGATGATGATGAATGTTGTTTTGTGCTAGTCTATGTTTTTTGTACGTAATATGTCATGGATGATTTTCCGTGTCACAGCGCATAAGCTTTCGTGATTGGAATGAGATTTGCGAGCATTAGAAAAATATGTTGTTGATTCGCAAGTAGAATTAAATAGGACGAAGGGGGGAAAAAAAAGTTTGCACATGTGTAAGAGTTTTAGAAATGGACTCTTAGGAAACGCCGCATCAGATGTTTATTTACATCAGATTTAGAGAGTGGTTTCACCTCCCATTAAGTCCAACAGACGAGTTATGAGCACATAAACCTTCGTGATCTACAGTGTGACGTAACCAGGGTGGCAGGCTGGCGGAGTCGTAACACTTATGTCTCGCAGCAAGAACGGCTTGGGCTCCCTACTCGGGTGCCTTTCTGTGTCGAGTTTGCATGTCCCACCCCTTTCCTGCATGGGTTGCCTCCCAGTGTGAGAAAAAAAAACATTGTAACAGGTAATTACCTAAATATATCACAATGCTAAAAAAAATCACCTACAAGGGGATTACTCATAGTAACGTCGCCCTGACATACGAATATTTGGCAGAACCCTCCTAAAAAGTGTCCTGAGACTTGGTAAACAAACTTAATAAATACAATATCTCCGCTTTTCAACAAAATTCCGGTGAAGATGAGTCAAAAGTACAATTCAGATTTCACGTCCTTGAGGGACTGCAATGCTTCCATTACATGTATTCGCTTCTCTGTGGCGGCCATCTGCTTAAGCTCAGGTTAGCTTGGCCTGGCTTAGTGTGGCCTTACGTCTGGCTCAGGCTGTGTTTACACTAGGGGCTGCTAAGGCTGCGTGTGTGTCCTGTGAAAACAGACCGTGGCCAATCCAAGGCTCCCTGTCTGCTCCGTTTACCGGCACTGTGCGATCCGTCTGGGCAGCGAAGCCACAAGCGTGCCAAATACTCATGTGGCGGCGGTGGCAGCGTGTCGTGTGTTCCCACGTGCCAACCCTCAGCTGGGTCTGAAATTGGTGCTCCTCCAGTGTGTGTGTGTCCTCCTCTTTGAATGGTGGGGAGCGATAGTTTAGTGGTTAGCGCACTGCACAACGAGATTGATACGACCAATAACTGTGATGAATATTTAAACCGGTCCTGGGCCTCTATTAGGTCGACTCAGCCATGGAGTATTTGGCTGTTATATAAATTTCGACATGATAAGTCACATTGTTGAGCTATCATTTGTGGCCAGGTTGATTCTTAAGAAAGAAGATAATATTTGAGTGGGATTTACCGGGTAAAATAAAAAAAATGGGTTTAGTTTAGTCCAAGAGATGAACTTTTAAACATCAGGGAAACAACTCCTGTGAATTTATTTCCCACTTTTCTGCTTCCAGCAGCAGAATTAGTGGGCATTCTAGTCAAAACCGCGTTAGGCTTTGCTCAAGCAGTGAAACGCCGCACAAGGGGTAAACTGTCGGGGGCTCTAGTACGGCTACGCAGACGCGGGATCCGAACAGTGCTTCCGAGCTTTTTTCTCTCCAACATACGTTCACTGTGCAACAGAATGGACGAACTTCAGCTACTGATAGTGAAAAACAGAGACTTTCTTTCACGTTCTGTTTTGTGCTTCACGGAGACATGGCTATGTGATTTGATTCCGGACACTGCGCTACAACTGGCAGGATTCCATCTTGTAAGATCGGATCGTGACATAGCACTCTCCGGCAAGATGAAAGGCGGTGGTATTTGTTTTTACATTAACAGTGGCTGGTGTGTAGATGTCACAGTGATTCTGCAACATTGTTCTCCGCTCCTTGAATATTTTTTTATAAACTGTAAACCTTTCTACTCGCCTCGCGAATTCGCGTCGCTGATTTTGGTCGGAGTTTATTTGCCGCCGGGTCCTCAGGTTAAAGAGGCCCAATGCATGCTCGCCGACGAGATTCTGAGTGTGGAGCGAGCAAATCCAGATTCGCTGGTTATCGTACTTGGCGACTTTAACAAAGGTAATCTCAGTCACGAACTCCCCAAATACATACAATTCATTAAATGCCCTACCAGAGAAGGGAACACTCTGGATCATTGCTACACTACAGTCAGTAGAGCCTACCACGCCGTCCCCCGAGCAGCACTGGGACACTCTGACCATGCCATGGTCCACCTGATTCCTGCATACAGGCAGAAACTAAAACTCTGTAAACCTGCTGTGAGGACATCTAAACAGTGGATCAGTGAGGCTGTGGAGGATTTGCGGGTGTGCTTGGACTTTACTGACTGGGATATGTTCACGACTGCTACCAATAGTCTGGATGAACTCACAGAGGCTGGGACGTCGTACATCAGCTTCTGTGAGGACTGCTGTATCCCAACACGTACCAGGGTGAACTTCAACAACAACAAGCCCTGGTTCTCAGCAAAGCTCAGATGGTTGAGGTTGGAAAAGGAGGAAGCGTTTAGGAGTGGGGATAGAGACAGATTCAAGGAGTCGAAGAACAGTTTTGGCAAGGCGGTGAGAGAGGCTAAACGACTGTACTCAGAGAGATTAAAACACCAGTTCTCTGCTAACGACTCTGCTTCTGTCTGGAGAGGGCTCAGGCAAATCACCAACTACAAGCCCAGAGTCCCCCACACCACTAACGACTCCCGCCTGGCCAACGATCTGAACGAGTTCTACTGCAGATTTGAAAGACAATTGGACTGTCCTGAACTACCCCGTACCCCCCAAGAGGCACCATCCCCTGCCCATACTACAGAGATGACTCTCTCCGTTAAGGAGGGAGAAGTTAATAGACTTTTCAAGAGGCAGAACCCACGCAAAGCAGCTGGGCCGGACTCTGTCTCTCCAGCCACCCTAAGGCACTGCGCTGACCAGCTGTCTCCGGTGTTCACCAACATCTTTAACACCTCCCGGGAGACATGCCATGTACCAGCCTGTCTCAAGTCCTCCACCATCATCCCTGTGCCCAAAAACTAAGGCCAACAGGAATAAATGATTACAGACCGGTCGCCCTTACCTCTGTGGTAATGAAGTCTTTTGAGCGCCTGATTCTGGCACACCTCAAAGCCATCACAGACCCTCTCCTGGACCCCCTTCAGTTTGCCTACAGAGCCAACAGGTCTGTGGACGACGCAGTTAACATGGCCCTTCACTTCACCCTACAGCATCTGGACTCCCCAGCATCCGACGCTAGGATCCTGTTTGTGGACTTCAGCTCTGCCTTCAACACCATCATCCCTGCCCTGCTTCAGGACAAGCTCTTCCAGCTGAACGTGCCCTACTCCACCTGCAGGTGGATCACAGACTTCCTGTCTGACAGGAAGCAGTGCGTTAAGCTGCGAACACAAGTCTCTGACTCCAGGTCCATCAGCACCGGAACTCCTCAGGGCTGCGTCCTTTCCCCACTGCTCTTCTCCCTGTACACCAACAGCTGCACCTCCAATCATCTGTCCGTCAAACTCTTGAAGTTTGCGGATGACACCACCCTCATTGGGCTGATCTCTGGTGGAGATGAGCCTGACTATAGGTGGGAAGCTGACAACCTGGTGACCTGGTGTAGCCAGAACAACTTAGAGCTAAATGCTCTAAAGACAGTTGAGATGGTTGTGGACTTCAGGAAGAATACAGCCCCACTCACCCCCATCACCCTGTGCGACTCCCCAGTCAAAACTGTGGACTCCTTCCGCTCCCTGGGCACTATTCTCTCCCGGGACCTCAAGTGGGATCTGAACATCAACTCCCTCATCAAGAGAGCTCAACAGAGGATGTACTTCCTACGGCAGCTGAAGAAATTCAACCTGCCAAAGACAATGATCGTGCACTCTATACAGCAATCATTGAATCCATCCTCACCTCCTCCATAACCGTCTGGTACGCTGCTGCCACTGCCAAGGACAAGAGCAGACTGCAGCGTATCATCCACACTGCTGAGAAGGTGATTGCTTGCAATCTACCAACCCTCAAGGACTTGCACACCTCGAGGACCATGAGGCGAGCGAGGAAGATTGTGGCCGATTCCTCCCACCCTGGACACTCTCTGTTCCAGCTACTCCCCTCCGGCAGAAGGCTGCGGTCCATCAGGACCAAAACCTCACGCCACAAAAACAGTTTCTTCCCATCCGCTGCTGGCCTCTTAAACAAGGCCAAGGGCTTACACTGACTTTAACATTTTATCTACAAAATGACACCTTGCCATATTTACACTATGTTACCATATTTGTATTTTTGGTATTTTTAGATTGTATCTTATTGCTACTTTATATTCAATATTTATTCAAAATTTTACATACTTTAGCCCCTTAGTGTTAGTTAGACTTTGTACCTTTTGTATAGTTAGACTTGTATACCACTTATTTTAGATTTAAGTTTACTATATGTTGAATGTATGCACCTTCCTGCCAAAGTAAATTCCTTGTCTGTGTGAACTTTCATGGCGAATAAAACCCCTTTCTGATTCTGATTCTGATAAGTACCTGGTGTGGTGTGTAACGACCAGCACTGGGGAGACAAAGGTGGCTAGGGGTGGAGGTGGCCACCTGCCACCTCCTGTGTCGTGCAGGCCTTCATAGG